GGAGAGGAGAATGGAGCCTCCGGGGACGTCCGAGGGCCCGAATGTGAGTCCGTAGCGAGTCCTGTCGATGCCATCGCCTTCCCCTTTGAACGCCTCCTCCTCCTCTTTTCCTTCCTCCTCCTCCTCCTCCTCCTCCTCCTCCTCCTCATCATCATCATCATCATCATCATCATCAGCAGCAGCATCATCATCATCATCAGCAGCAGCAGCATCATCAGCAGCAACCTCCTCCTCCTCCTCCTCAACCGCTTCCTCCTCCATTCCTTTTCCTTACAGATACCTCCTCCCTGTCGCACCCGCAGGCCGATCGAAAGGGCGGGCCGGGCGTTTCGCTTGGAGACTTCCTCACCAGCTATGGCCCTGAAAATAAATGTTTGGCAACAACTTCGAAGATGGAAGGCACGTCGTTTTCAAAATGCGTTTCTCGCTTTAGCGCCGCGCACACTCGTTTCAATGAGCGTGGCGAAGGACTCAACAATATGCAGTTGTGATTACCGCAGTTGTGCGTGTCGTCTTCGGTGGAGCTCCCTATGGGCCACGAAACGCTGTACTGGGCGGGGGAGACGCATGCGAACTTTGCCACTGGAGCCTTCGGTGGAGCTCCCTATGGGCCACGAAATGCCGATGCCACTGGGGCTTTCTGTGGAGCTCCCGATGGGGCCACGATACGTTGTACTGGGCTGGGGAAACGCATGGGGAGTTTGCCACTGAAGCCTTCGGTGGAGCTCCCTATGAAGCCACGCAACGCTGTACTGGGTGCGGGAGACGCATGTGGACGGTGCCATTGTGGCCTTCAGTGAAGCTCCCTATGAGGCCACGGAGCGTTGTACTGGGTCGGGGAACCGCATGTGAACGGTTCAATCGGGGTATTCGGTGGACCTCCCTATGGGACCACGAAGCGATGTACTGGGAAGGTGAGGCGCATGCGGATGCAGCCACTGGGGCCTTCGGTGGAGATCCCCATGGGGCCACGAAGCGCTGTACTGGGCGGGGGAGGCGCATGCGAGTGCAGCCACGGCGGAGCTCCATATGGGGCCACGAAGCGCTGCATGGGGTGCGGGAGACGCATGCGAGTGCAGCCACTGGGGCGCTCCGTATGGAGCCACGGAACGCTGTACTGGGAGGGGGCAGCCACTGGGGCCTTCGCTGGAACTGCACGTGGACACGAAACGCTGTACTGGGCGGGGGAACCGCATGCGAGTGCAGCCACTGGGGCCTTCGGTGGAGCTCCCCATGGGGCCACGAAGCGCTGCACTGGGCGGGGGGAGACGCATGCGAGCGCAGCAACTGGGACCGCGAAACGCTGTACTGGGCGGGGGAGGCGCATGCGAGTTCAGCCCCTGGGGCTTTCAGGGCCACGAAACGCTGTACTGGGTGGGCGAGACGCATGCGAGTGCAGCCCATGGAGCCTTCGGTGGAGCTCCCCATGGAGCCACGAAGCGCTGTGCCGGGCGGGGAAGACGCATGCAAGTGCAGCCACTGGGACCACGAAGCGCTGTACTGGGTGGGGGGGGGCGCATGCGAGTGCAGCCAATGGAGCCTTCGACGGAGCCCCCTGTGAGGCCACGAAACGCTATCCTGGGCGGGGGAGGCGCATGCAAGTGCAGCCCCTGGGACCACGAAGCGCAGTACTGGGCGGGGGAGACGCATGCGAGTGCAGCCACTGGGGCCTTCGGCGGAGCTCCCTGTGGGGCCACGACAACTGTGTACTGGGCGGGGGGGGACGGATGCGAGTGCACAAGTCGGGGCCCTCTTATGGAGCCACGGAGCGCTATACTGGGCAGGGAAGGCGCATGCGAGTGCAGCCACTGGGGCCTTCGGTGGAGCTCCCCTCCATCTGGGGCCACGAAGCGCTGCACTGGGAGGGGCAGACGCATGCGAGTGCCGCCACTGGGGCCTTCGGTGGAGCTCCCGATGGGGCCACGAAACGCTGTACTGGGCGGGGGAGACGCATGCGAGTGCAGCCCATGGAGCCTTCGGTGGAGCCCCATATGGGGCCACGAAACTCTGCACTGGGTGGGGGGGGGGGGTGCGCATGCGAGTGCATCCATTGTGGCCTATGGTGGAACTCCCGATGGGGAGAGGAAGGAGGAGGGAGGAGCGGGAGGAGGAGGAGGGGGCAGCGGGAGGAGTGGACGCGGGGCGCTGTCTCTTCAAAACGAGGACCCAACAAAACGGATGGTTGGGAACAAATTGAAAGGGTTTCCCTGGTTGAGGGCGGTCTTTTGAAAAATGTGGTTCTCGCCTTGGCGCCGCGCACATTCATTTAACCAGTTTAGAAGAGCTTCACGGATTGAGGACGGGTAGATTTCAAAATGTGGTAATTGCCCCAGCGCCGCACACGTTCGTTTAACCAGATTTGCAAGAGCTTCACGGGCTGAGGGCGGGTGGTTTTCAAAATGTGGTTCTCGCCGTAGCGCCGCGCACTTCCGTTCTAAAAAATACAACGACTTCACTGGTTGAGGGCGGTTCGCTTCCCAAAGATTTACATCGCCTTAGCGCCGCGCACATCCTAACAAATTACACCAAAGTTACACATATGGAGGGCCAGCCGTTTTCAATATGTGGCTCTCGCCGTCTCGCCGCGCACATTCGTTCTAAAAACTTGCAAGAGTTTCACGGATCGAGGGCGGGTGGTTTTCAAAATGTGGCTCTCGCCTTAGCGCCACGTACATTCGGCGCAACAAGTTGTAAGAATTTCACGGATTGGGGGCTGCTCCTTTTCAAAATGGCGCCGCGCACACTCGCTTTAAACATTTGCAGAAGTTTCACTGGCTACAATGGTCACCGTACCGGAAATGGCGCTTTGCAGCGATTTAGGATTGTTAGGGCGTAACACTTACGTTGAGTCGCGGTGTTGAAGACCCAGGAATGGTGTTCTGAATCGCCAAGACGTAACAGTCAGGTTAACTCATGGCGTTGAAGTCCTGAGAATGGTGCTTTGGCACGCTTCAAGATGTTCACACGGTTGCCCCCCGACGGGGCAATTCCCTCAGTGGACATGACCCCCTGGTAGTGGCCTATGGAGAAGGATCTTGGAGGGAGGGTGAAGTTCAACATCGTTGATGAGTCTTGGGTTTACACTGGTCCTCCTTTTCCTCCTCCTCCTCCTCCTCCTCCTCCTCCTCCTGCTCCTCCTCCTCCTCCTCCTCCTCCATTCGTTTCATTGTTCTTCGCTCCCTCCCAGTCCTTCGGCCCATCCCGCCACCGTGCCTGTGCTGTAGCTCTCGGGGGCCTCTGGGAGCAGTTTGGAAGCCTCTGGGGACCATTCTTGGGGCCTCTTGGGGGTTTCACTGGGGCCTCCTGCGAGCCGGGGCCGTATGGGGGCCTCTGGGAGACCTCTTGGAGACTCCTGGGGGCCTCTTTGAGCCTCCTGGGCGCAATTCGTCTTGGGGCCTCTTGGGAGACGTGTGGAAGCAGTTCGGGTCCGCTTTTAGACCTCGTGGGGGCGTCTTAGGGGCGTCTCGGGGCTTGTTGGGGGCCTGCTGGCGACCTGGGGGGGCGCCTGTGGGCTCTCTCGGGCCGTCGCAGGGGCGTCTTGCGCCGTCTTGGGGCCATCTTGGGCCGTCTTGGGGGCATCTTGGGAGCCTCGTGGCGCGTCTTGGGGCGGTCTTGGGGGCTTTTTGCGTCGCCGTGGAGCGTCGGAAAGCCGAAAAGTCGCGCGTGCTTGAAAATGCACACTCCCCCAAGAAGCGAACGATTTGGGCATCTGGACGGTCTTGGCGACGCCTGAGGCCGACTTGGGGCCATCTTTGGCGTTTGGACGCCCTCTGGGACAGTTGTCATAGGCTGGAGCGTGCTTGAAAGCAGACTGGGCGCGGCCTCGGGGCTCCCCGGGGCGCCCCGGGGCCCCCCGATGCAGCCGTGGAGGGTCGGGGTCCCCTTTTTGGGGGGCCGCGGGGCCTGCCCCCCCCCCGGGATACTGAAACGATCTAGATATACAGATGCAGATATGTTCCACAGACACTGCCTGCACTCAAGGCTCTCACTTCTTTTTGTTCCACCCGCCGAGTGTTACGACGGATTCCGTTTTTTTTGGAGAGGGCGACGAGGGAACGAGGGAGAGGAGGAGGAAGACGAGGCCGAGGGGGACGCAACGACGACCCCAAAGCGCAGAAACGACAACTCGAGGCCCTCACTTCTGCTCTGCGGAGCCGGGCCGTGTCTTCGGTCTGGCGGCTAGGGGGGCCGCCGTGGCCGCCCCCGTCGCCGCTCCGTCGCCGCCCGTCGCCTCGCCCGCGGCTTCGGTCCGACGGCTTATGTGGCCGCCGTCGCCGCCCCGTCGCCGCCCTGTCGCCGCCCTGCATTGCACAACAACGATTGCGCCGCATAGCTTGCACCACAAATGTTGCACTGTATAGCTTGCAAAACATAGCTTGCGCCGCATACATATATATATATATATATATGTGTATATTGCAACGGGTAGAGTGCACAACCGATATTGCACAACACACAGATTGCACCACATACATTGCACAGCATAGTGTGCACAACATAGTTTGCACCGCACAGATCGCGCCACCAGTTACTGCATCAACATGTGTTGCACAAAATGAATTTAAACGCATAGGTTGCACCACATGGATTGTACAACATACATTGCACCACGCAGACTGCACGACACATGTTGCACCACATACAAGGAACCACGTAGATTGCACCACATATGTTGCACCCCTTCGACTGCACCACGCAGCTTGCACAACTGATATTGAACCGCATACCAGTGCAACACACTAATTGCACCACATGAACTCCGACCCATAGAGTGTACAGCGCATACTATACTGCACCACGTAGGCTGCAGAGGACGGGGGAGGGGGAAACGAGCAAGGGGAGGAGGGGAGGACGGCGGCGACGGTCTCAAGCAGAGTGGCACCCCCAGCGGGCCCGACGGGGAGCTCCAGGCTGGCGGGGCATCTCTCGAGATGCGTGCCCCCCTGGTGCCCCTGGGGGGCTGGGCTACGCCGGGCTTCGCGAGGGCCGGGCGGAGCCGC